GACGGTTTGCGTCGGCCGAGGGCCGGGTGAGGCTGCGGCCAGGGGCAGGACGCCTCCAGCTGCCCACCCGCCCGCGCCTGCACTGCCACCCCGCTGGCCACAGTGGACCTGCCTGGCGAGAGAGCGACTAAGCGGCGGGCAGAAACTCCCGACGGAGGCTTTTCATCAGCGCCCGCCGGCCGCTCCCGCATGTTGGCAGCCTCAGGTTCTTCCCGTCCGCAGAGCAAGCACCCGTGTTTGCACACCGAGTCCCCTACTGCAGAGCACAAGAACTCTTAGAGCCACCGAACGCCAGCTCACCGCTGGCTCCTCTAACACTGCAGGTCATTCAGCTGAAGGCTAAGCCACCTCATCTCACCACCGCGCATTCCTGCTGCCTCGCCACGAGCAAACGCACACTTACTGGGGTGGCATCACAGGCCTGATAATCGGATCTGAGCAGTGATTATACACCTCCGTAAGGTAACAGACACAACAGCGCTCCAAGGCTGGGCTTACAAAAACACAAAGGACCGGGTTTTTAATTCAAAACAACCTGCCTCTCCATTACTGGCTCAAACCAGCCTCTGTCCTCCAGCATTCCTTCACATGCTGCTGACGTTTTTAACTTGTGGTGCATGTGACTGATTTTGAATAGTCTGGGGGATGGATGGAGGTGAAGGCCGAACTCATGAAGGTTGTGAAGGTCAGGGATTATTCTACAAAGAACATCAAGCCATATTCAAAGATCAGCTCCAGTTTGCGAACTCTATTGGTCTAACATAGTGAGGCAGCACCATGAAACCATCATGTGGGAAATACTTTGCTTTTCAGTGCAACAAAACATTTCTGTTCGGATGCTTCCCAAGTGAAGAAAGGGCCCTGTCAGGATAATGAAGTGCTTAATTAAAAGTACACTCAGACATGCAAATGGCCCTGGATGCTCTGACTTCTAAGAGAAATATTTTAAAAGCCTTGTCAAAGCTTTAACAAAACAGTTCTTGGGAGCCTTTATTAACAAAGCAGTGAAAGATAAGGCAGTAAACGTTAATGAGTAAAAGCCCTAGACTTACCTCAGGGTAAGACCATTCTGGTGAATAATCTGTCACCATGAACAAGCGCCCACTCTGCTGTAGCAACCCCAAAGTGCCTTGTGCCGCAGCTGCTGAGACCACCTCAGCCACATGCATGTACGCCATGGTGCTGGCTCCGTTCTCTGTGCTGCTGAGCTGCATGTTGGTTTGCTGCGGACTGCAGCACGGGATGCACATTTCAGCCTGGTTGTAGGTTGCTCTGTTACTGTCTTCAGGCTGAGACAGTCCGGCACTGTCCCCTGACACCAGCTGGTGTCCATAGAGAGCATTGCTCCCACCTTCTACCGATATGAAATCATTAATTAGATCAGAAAACTGGTTGCTGAAGGAGATGTCAAAGTGGTCCAAGTTAAGCTCCATGTTGGAGGAGTTATTTAAGCTGGGATGGGCCACGGGATAGAGTCCTTGTACCATGTTTCCTTGGAGAATAGGGAGATTGTTCCCATTCCTGATACTCCCATTGGCCTCAGGCTGCAAGTAGTGTTCTGTGCTGCAGGCTTGAAGATCCCCTGATTTAAGTAGATTTTCGTTCCCTTCTGCCTGCTGGGAGGTCTCCATGGGAACTTCAGCTTCTGCAGTCATAGCCTGGAAGTTTGCTTGGAACTGCATGAGCTGGAGAGAAGAGGAGGACTCTATTCTGGTTTCCACTGTGCCGTTACAGTTGGAAGTGGTTTGGGACGAGGACTCTGTTTTCACACTGGGGATTCCTAACGTGTTCACAAATGAGCCACTTGTGTCATTCAAATTGTTGTGAGTGGTTTGCTCAAGGGGGAGAGGTTTGCTGGCATCCTGCAGAAAGAAGCTGGGGGAAGGGGTCTGATGAACATGAGGGCTCTGGACGGTCTGACTGAAACTGGAAGAATAGTCCTTGTTGGAGTCAATGGCACTGAAGTCCATCTGCTCCAGGGTGGTACTTGGGCTCAGACCTCCTCCAGATGGAAGCAAACCTGAACCGGTAGTGAGGGTGAGAGTGTTGGATGCAGAAGTGGAGGAAAATGCTTCTTTGGACATCTGTTGTTCGAAAGATGTGTCCTCAGTTTTAATTTCTTTTGTGAGGGTTGTATTGAAGTTGAAGCTACGTTCTGTTGTGGGTGACTGCCTTATGTTGGTACTGATGCTGTCACTTTTCATACCTCCTCCACCATAAGTCTGCCCTTGCTTGGGATTGTTAAGAAAACAGTCTGGGTCAAAATTCATGGTGGTTTCTGGAATTTTTCTATTTCCATCTAATGTTGTGGAAAGCACAAGTTCCTCGGAGACCGTGCTGGGTAGCATCGACAAGCTCTCTGAACTGCCGGTGGTTGGAAAAGCAAATTTGTGTCCATCTGAACTCACAGCAAGTACCAGTCCTTGTGCAGCTGCATCTGAGGACAGAAGGTGTTGATTTGGGCCGGAGGTGGGTGACATGGTATACACAGCTTCACTGGTGACTTCTGACATAAACACGGTGGCACTTTGTGACAAGCTTCCCATAACTGAGGCCACAGCCATACTGGAGACGCCGGTGACGGCCGGGCTGTCCGCCATGTCCGGGTCGCTGTTCAACCCACTGCTGATGGACACCGGAGAATTCTGGGTCGTGTCAGGGACCTCCACCTGGTTGGTGGAAGAAACCTCGGTGCTGTTTTGATGGAGCAACACTGGTTTCGCCACTTTGCCATTCCTCTTCTCTCGGCTGGAGGCCTTGCCATGACTGTGCTCGTTCTTGCCTTCAGAGACATCGTTATTTTGTACCTCTGAATGAGTGCTGTACCCACCTGTCCTTGGTTCGACCTTTGGTGATATGATGCGGTGTTTGGCACTGTTACACTTGTGATGCACACTGCTTCCTGCCCCTGCGCCAGAAAACAACAACAGTTGCTACTCAGTAAACACCAAGTTAAGACGATGCTGGTTGTGTATCTTACGGCTGTAGCAAAGGGGAGCCCTGCTGCCGCGCGAGTGCGTGTGAGAGAGAGTGAGCAAGAGACCTCGGAAATAAAATTAATTTCTCACCAGTGCCAGATTTACAGATCCCTTTCTGTCTAATGCACCGTTCCGCTGTGTGCAATGGCAACCTCTGAGCAGGCGCCTGCACCCTTCCCCTCGCCCCCTGCCCCCATCAGACAACCCGTCAGGAGGAGAGGAACCGGCATCTGGGACAAGTTCTAAACGTGCCCCATCCCAGCTAAAGGCTGCAGAGCGAGGGCTGCTGCTGGCTGTGGTGGAGGGCTGCTGGCACGCGGTCCTGCTCTGTCCGCCCCTGACGCCGAGGGGGGCTCTGCCCGCGGTGTGACGGTGGGTGGGAGCCGACCGGTGACCTGGGGGTGACAGACGCTGCCTCACGCTCCTGTGCCTGCCGTCACCCCGCCACTTCGACCACCTTATCTTGTCACCATCGCGTCTCCTGCAACTGCCCATCGAACGGTTACGGGGCGGTGGGGGCACGGAGAGAGCTCTCCCTCTGCAAGGATGGCGACGCATTTCCCTTGCCCTGAGCCGTTCACACGCTGGCACAGAAACGTCCTGTACCCCGAGGCGGCGCAGACTGCAGGGTCAGTGCGGAGCGGCTGCGGGACGCTCAGCGGTCATGGAAGAGCCCTGCCCCGCGTCACCGGCCCGTCGGGGGGCCTGGAAAGCACCGGGATGACGGGAACAATTCTGTCCAGAAAGCATCTCAGCCACGACCCCTGGTGCAGGGACTGCTTTTATTGTTTAAAAAACAGCCCATCAATTTTTGATGTTTCTGTCCTTAATTGATTCATTTTCCCTAGAATGAGCTAAGAACATTAATTATGGTAACATATAATGACTGAAGGGGGAAAGAACCCCCCCCTTGTAGCTGATGGCTACAATTACAAATGCCATCTTCTGGGTAACATAAAGTGTCCTCGTAGCCGCTGCAATTTCCTCAATCTTTTGTTCCTTGCCCTTGAAGGGGAACTTCTCTATTATGTGCTCAAGATTTGAATCGGGTCACTTAAAGTAGTTCAGGACAGCGTTTCTGAGACTAAATGCAATATTAAATCTCTACTCTCCCAGGTACAGAGAGGAACAGGAACAAGGGAGAGGCGTTCACGCTGCCGCCTGTGCGGATGGCAGCAAGGAACTGGGAGTGTGTGTGTCAACGTGCAAGCCATTACAAAACACAGCGATACTGTTGTGTTAAAAAGCATGCAGCAGACTTAGCACAAGACAAAACATCAGAGGGAAGAATAAAAGGATTCGTGTTCAGATCTGCAAGCCTGGATCAAATGCTGAGCCTTAAGGGTTGAATTTTAATCCAAACTCAGGTATTTCAGAGGTCATTGTTCTTAGTTAAGCCTTGCTTGTATAATGCAGCTGCCCAAATTGAGAAGAAAAAAATAAACCCTTTGAAGCACTGGCAGCTTTCCTTTATAAATTTTGCTAAAGACTAATTAACGTGTCATGTATTTTACTTGACCAAAGTACTAGAAAGGGGTGGCTATAAAGCAGATGAGTGGGAAAAGTGAAATACTCAGCTTCCCACTCTCTCTCTAAAATGCTAATACTAAGGATGCTGCTTCTTGCTGTTGTAGTCTCACTCAGAACAAAGCCATCTTCTTCAACAGGAAAGAAAACTCCTGTATTGTCATGATACCTAAACAAAACCTGTCTTATACCAGTAATACCTTGTAATTAACCACCTGAGCCCATTTTCTTCAGCAAAGTGGGCTGCAGGGCAAGGAATTCAGAGGGCGAAGTTGGAAGAACATCAAATTTTGATGCTTACGTAACAAAATTTGAACATGTAGAAGAGAATATGCCTTTTTTGAGCACGTCACATACAGAGAGCATTTATTAGAACTTGCACATTACAAAGCGTTGACATTTTTTCCAGAAGTTCCAGCTGCATCTTTTTATGCTCAAGACTTCTGCCATCTGAATTCACCGTGTCTCAGTGTTTCCCGATACAGCACTTCTGTTGTACGACAAACCCTGCTGCAGGTCTGGGTGAAGCTGTGACGGCTTGTGCCCCCCAGGGTACTCACCCAAGGTACCAGTGCAGAGACAGTTGTGTGTCCGAGGCTGCGGTTTGGTCTGGTGACTGTCGAGGATCTGCTGCACGAGCTGTTCCACCGAGAACCCTGAACTGCTGTTCCCATTGCTGCATGTCCACTTAATGCCATGAACTGCAAAGAGAACAGTAAAACTTCTCATCAGGAACTTCAAAAACATGCCAGAAATCATCAAAAGCCACCCCAGAAGAACAGCAGAAACCCATTCCTGGTGCTTTCTGTCAGAACTGAAGGAGACCTGTAAAAAGCAACAGGAAGTGACTGTTTTATTATTCTCTGCTCCTGGATATCCATAGGCTTCCAAATGCAATTCCTGGATTAGGTACATACAGAGGAAAAAAAACTCAACGGAATACATTTCTCTATTTCAAGTTGCTGTTAATGGTGACTCACTAAGTCACTAAAAACTGTAAGGGTTATCTAAATAGTGCATGCAACCTTCATTAAAAACCTGAAAGCAAACCCAGTACAATTCCAAGGAGCATTTTGGAATCGTCTTCTGTCTAATATGACAACAAAATTAGTTTTATAGTAAAATCAGCAGCCAAAAATATGCCAGTGTAACAGCAAACACAAACCTTTTGCCAGGTCTTCATTGTCAGATCCTGGTTGGCACCAGTGGAGACTGACTCATTTTTTGGGAGTCACTAACAGACACTGTGCGAGTTCCTCCTCAGACTTGGACAATTTTTTAGTAATTTGAGAAAATGAACAGGAGGGTGATGTTGCAGAACATGTTGTAAACTGAAGGTCTCCTTTCTTGGGGACTCTCTTGGCCTGTTAGCTATTTAAATAAGAATGCTAAACTGCATGCACATAATTTATTTGAATAAAGGTTCCCTCAGAAGTTTTTAGACACAGAACTTCACGTAACAGTGATATGCTCAACCTGAATTACAACAGAAATAGCTTTTCTAAAATATTTCTCCATAATAACTGTCTCAAAGCATCTTCTGCCTTCTTTAATATCTCTCTAAGCAATTTATATGTGCAGATTATTTATTTATCCTTTGTGTGCACTAGAGCTCCCTTGCAGATTTTGGAACGTGCTGGTTGGTGTGGACATCATTCCCAAGCTGTCCCACGCCTGGCAGCCCAGGCCTGAAGAGATGCTGCTTGTCTTCGCCTTCTCCACGCGAATGCACGTCGGGTGGGGAGTAAAAAGGAGCTGGAGACACGGGAACGCCTGCAGGGCTGCGACCTCACTGGCACCACGGAGACTGGTGGGATGGCTCCTGTGGCTGGAGGGCCGGGGTGGGGGAAACGGGCTCTTCAGGAAGGACGGGGCAGGGGGTGGGGGGGTCAGCCTGTGTTAGCGACCAGCTGGAGAGCACCGAGCCCTGCCTGGGGTGGGCAAGGAGCTGGGCGAGAGCTCATGAGTTGGGATTAAAGGGAGGGCAGGGACAGGAGACGTTACAGCCGGGTCTGCTACAGGCCCCCGACCGGGCAGACAAGGGGAGGAGGCCCTCGGCAGACAGGAGCCGCCAGTGACGAGCGGCGTCCTCGGGGGCTGGGACCGGCGCTGTGTAACGTCGCTGTCGGGGACACGGACTGGGGCATTGAGGCACCCTCAGCATGTTCCCTGCTGAGCTGTGTGTGCGGGGACATGCCAGAGGGGAAGGATGTGCCATCCAGAGGGACCTGGACAGGCTGCGGAGGGGGGACGTGCCTATCTCATGGCGTGGGAGGTGCCCCTGCCCATGGCAGGGGGTTGGAACTGGACCGTCTCCAAGGTCCCAAACCATTCTATGAGCCTGTGATTCTTTCAGGAGTGTCTCTCGTGCTCTAGCAAAGCAGGTTCTTTGCACATTGTATTCTAAAACCCTTAACCAGAATATACCAAATCAAAGCTGAAAGTCCCAAGGACTTCAGTGTTGTAGGTTTAATCTCTAAACACACAGATCCCTGCATGGCGAAGGTCCTGGACGTGAGGTCGTGGAATGCTGGCAGCAGCACGTCGGGCTGGCACCGCTGCACAGCCACAAGGACCTGCAGACTCTGGAGCGACAAGCTGTAAGCTGCTTCACGCAGGAAGATCAGAAGGAAAGGAGGGCACATTTGTGACAGCTAATGACTGTTGTCAAGAGGCAAGATACCGCGTGAAGCTCTGTTCTCCTCTTCGGTGCTCCTTATTCAGTATGTGACACGCAGACAAGTGGAAGAGTTCCTGGATCTGCTCTGTGCAGCAGTTTTATTGCTTCTTTTAATCACCTGTTGCCTCATCACCCACTGGTGTAACTTTGCCTAACAGCATCTCATCTTGGTCTGGTTTTATATTACAGAATTCCTATTTTTATTGGACCGGCCAGATAACTTGCAGAAATACTGTAAGGTTTACAAGTATTCTTCCTCATATCACTATTTAAAGTGCTGCGGTTAGTTTAGTAATGAGTCCCTCTATGCTTGCTTGCAACCACATTTATTGTTATCGTACCCAACAGATTCTGCTTTCTAGTATGTTCACAATTTTGAATTTCCTCTTAACACTGAGAATCTGTTATTATGTCTAAGTTTTAAGTTTATATACGCTTATCACTTCAGTACCTCCACTCCCATTCACTGTATTATTCCAGGTACAGTATTCTGTCACATGTGATGTTCTGCCTAATAAGCGATGTTCAAATAGCAGTTTTGCAAAAAATACACTGACAGTGAGATTAAAATGTAGTAACGTATTTGGAATACGTTCAGCTGCACTATATAAAGTTACTGAACCGTAGTTATTACTGAAAAACTTTCAGTTATTTCGGTTACTTCAGAAACGTTTTGCTAAGAAGCGAGCTCACAGAGGTGCTGCCAGCTACAGAAAGTCCGTTTCGCAGCACTTTGCTCCCTACTGCTGCTAAATCCCGTCACGAGCGGCGTGTCACGGGGGCTGCCCCTGGTGAGCGAGTCATGTCTCGTGGCTCGTGTATTCCTGATGATGGTTCTTACGTCTGACTCAAGCTGTGAGCTGGAAGCCAAGGGATACCGGACAGCTTTTCAGCTGGATACTTATAGTACCACGCCTATTATTTTCAGGTCCTTCCAGCATAACGAAGTCCCATCGCAGATCTCCTGCTGCTGAGGAATGGTCCTTCTCCAGCCTTGCTCCGGCTGATCCGAAAGGGCTCCAGCTTCTGTCCGCGTGGTGAGACTTTTTTTAGTGCTTATGCTCCCGTATGTTATGAAGGTTATAAAATAAAAAGCCAGTGAAGGGTGACAGATTGCAAAAAAAGAATGTCTGGCTGCTTAATGCAAATTATCCACTATCTTGGCACATGCAATATGCAGATTTTCTCCCTCCCCTTTTAAAGAAAAACTCCTGTGAGCTGGTGAGTTGTTAGTACTGAATACCAAATACTATCAAGATGGCTTTTAACATGTCACGCTTGGCTTCCTGACACCTAATGAATCAGCAGGAACGGCGATTTCTATAGGGAAGAAAGTGCATTATGAAAGGAAGGTTAATAAAAAGCATACACACACACTCTTCCTGTTTCTTCTTAGTGGTTCAAAAAGTGAAACCTCTGTAGAATCACATCTGATTAAATATAGTCATAATGTAGGAACACAAAAAAAAGGATAAAGACTGAAGCTTGACAGAAATTCTAGGAAGTACTTTAATCTGAATTTCTGTTCAGACTCCTCCTGCATTTCCTTATAATTCAAAATGGAAGCTGTGAGCTGCTCCAACACTTTGCAGTGGTACCACGAAGGGTCTAACGGCTGCTGCCAGCCATGCACCCCCCACGCAGCGCCGGGGACGGCTCCTGGTGTTCCCTGGGCGCGTGTAGAAGAGGAGTGAGGCTGGAGGAAGGTCCCTGATTCAGAGTGCTAATGCTGCTCCTAGCAGAAATGCCTCCAACCTCTTCCTATGAGCACGGGCTCACACCTTTCTTCTTTCTTCCCGTTTGAAGAAAGACAATAAAAATTACCTTCCAATATTGGCCCAGCGGTTCCCCATTCATTAGTGCTGTCAGGACTTTGACCATCATGAGCAAAGGAATGAAAAATGATCTGAATTACCAGCAAAAACACAACTCAGAAGCCAAAGGAAACTCGCACACAGAAAAATATGATTGTCCAGGTTTCTTACAGCACCCTGACCGTGCCTTCTTCCGCTGCTGGTGGTGCTCTGTCCTCCAGTCACCAGTTCTGCAGACACCTTCCTCCTCCCCACCGCCTCGAGCCTCCTCGCCGTCGCACCTTCACTGTACGGCCAACACTGCCCATGGCCAAAGCCTGACCACTTCCCTCTCTGGGGTTTCCTCCACGCTACGCAGAACTTGTCCCTAAAATACCTTCCCACATTTAAATCTGACCATTTCACCCTTTCTGAATGCTCTGACATTCCTCTTTGCCATTTTGTCTGTTTTACAGTTCCTGTTTCTGTTTCGAAGCTTGTTCTGTATCCCGTGCGTATGGCACAGCTTACCCGTACACGTACGCTACGTGATGAAGCCATTCCCCGTGCCCTACGTGCTGCTCTTTGCCCAATTTTGACAGGCAAGGGCACATCTTTTGTTTTTTGAGTAACAGTGCCGTCATCTCCCACATGCTAAGTTGGAGAGACTGGCAGAGCTGGAATATGTGGAGTAACCAGGGTCAGGTTTCTGTTTGCCTCTCCCTCCTGCTGGATCTCCGCTCGCTGCAAACCTGTGTCAGGGTCCTGCCCTCGGCCTCTCCCGAGCAAAATGCCTTCAAAAACCCTGCAAGTGCTGACCTTATCGCCAGCGGGTCCTTTGTCCCCTGCCCTGCCGAGAGCCCGCCCCGCTTCCTACGAGCCCTCCACCAACTGTTGACACTGGGAGGCTGTTTCCATGGTGATGGTCAATTGGAAATGGCAGCCTTGTCCCTTCAATTTTCAACGCGTTGGTATTGACAGAAGCAGAGGCCTTGCTCCGATTTCTCATTTGGCTGGAGGTTTCCATCAGATGGATCCCCCCGTACCCAGACACCCCCCCCCACGATCCAGCCTTGAATTTGCCAGCGCTCCGCTTCCCCCTGGCGCTGGTTTGAAGGTTTCCTGAGCCCGCGCCGGGGAAGTTCACCTTGCACGTCGCCGTTTCCTCGTGACGCCTCCTGAATTTTAACGCCTTTGGGAGGACTCGCGCAGGCGTTTCACCCCCGGC